AAATATTGTGGATATAGTAGAAATTGTTGTGTTTTTGAATTAGGTTTGACATGTATGAAGATAAACAATATTTTTACTATTAAAGCCTGTTTTAAAGTTTAGTAGCCAGTTTTTGCACAAAACTAAATGGCTTTATAGCTCTTTGTGCTGGTCTCATTTAAGTGGGGCTGTTAAAATGTTTTGAACAGCATTCTCTCCATCAAGGGCGGATGTAGGAAATGTGGGGCCATAGGCAAAGACTGGCAAGGGGCCCTCTGAATTTACAGACCCATTATACAGATACAGAAAATTTAATAGAATAGACATCCATTATCTGTTCTAGGTTTTGTCCCTCTCTTCTTGTCCCTTTTCTTCTTGTTTTCCTCTCTATGTTTTGTACTCAGCTGACTTTTCATGCTGTCTCAAAAGGAATGAAAGATTTTTTCCAAGCACTAAGCTCACTTAGCTGATTGCTCCTTCCTGTGTTTCTAAAAAGGCAAAAGTAAATAACCCAGTCCTTCTTTTCACTGTAGACAAGCCATGATCTGCTTATCTGTTCTCCATCTTTCATTTGGATGAAATAATAGCTGCATGAATTATGACAGCAGACAAGATAGAGGAGAGCAGGAGGCGGGGTTACTAATCTACTTGCTCTGGAGAGCAGAGTTTGGTGCCTTTTATATGGATTTTTATCAAAAACATAATGTGCACAAATATGGAATAGTTGTATTAATCATACATGTAAACAGAGTTATATGGGGCCCCCAGGAACTTGGGGCCCTAGGCAAACTGCCTAGTTTTGCCTAATGGTAAATCCCCCCCTGCTCTCCATACAATCTCTGTTTTAGGCGCATGACTTTAAAGGGTTTCTTATGGATGAAACTTATTTCAGAAACAATTATTTCAGAAACAAATTATACAATTTCAAGAAATTGTATAATTTCTTTTCAGATTGCTTCAGAAAACCTACAATTAGAAAAGTCAATGATGCAATCAGTGACTTTTTTAGATGCTTCTGCTATCAAAAGAGAAATTTAATTCTGCTTTAGATGTAAAAATCTAAGATTAGCTGCCTAACAATACGGTGTTGGGAAGTTAGACATTAGAAAATGGGGATGATGTTATAATAGAAAAGTGCAAAATAAAAGTGACTAAAACAAACTGGACTGTATTTGCAAGTTTTATGAAAAGTTATGTATCCTTAAATGTCTAGATTGTGGTACATCCTTTATACCAAATCTCTAGATGATGGTACGCAACCTCTTCGTAGGTGAACTCACTTTCACAGGCTTGTGAGGATATCAGAGGGCTGCTGACCAGTTCCAGAGGAGAAGTTAGCGGCTCACTAGCACTGGGTTCCACAGATGAGTCATCAGAATCAGCACTGTTCTGGTCTGTTGCACTGAACTGTTTGCCCCTGTTTGTAAATACAGTAAAACCATATAAACTGGTTAAACTGTGGGAAAACGTCCATAAGTTCAATTAGTTGATTCTAAATAGTACCTACTTTCTCTCTCGTCTGCCATTCCCAGTATCTCTGAACCCTTTGGCAAAGGGATTGTTGTCAATTTTCAGCTGAGTTATCTAAATAGGGAAGGAGGAAAACTTGTCACTCAATTCTAACACAATGACCCACAGTTCTATTGTCAAAACAGCAAGAATTATACCTTTTCATTCTGATAGGCAGTGACAGCAATGAACTCAGTTTCTGGGAAAACGTATGTCCTAAAGGTGCTGTATGGCAGCTTCATAATGTCATCAGTCCTCACAATGTGAAACCTGGGTTGGTACTTATGCATGGAATTAAGGATAGTCTGAAAAATCAAGAAGAACCATAAAGTAGGCAATCATATCCATACTTCAATTTTTTACTATTTCAAATCTGACTCCTACTTACAAATCCATGCTTATCTGAGATGTTGTTTGTGAGTTTGAGTTTATGAAAAGCAACAGGCTTGCTCATCCACTGCTCTCCTTTTGACGGGCTGTCTGGGTGAATGTACATATGCTTTGGCATCTCCGGGTCAGCTTTTCCGGCCGCTCTCCATCTGGAGTTGTGAAACCTGTAGCGGCAATCGTCAACAGCGACAATGTCCATCAGCAGGATATATTTTGCGCTTTCCTTCAGCCCACTCACACAGATTTTGAAGGGTGGAAACATCCTCCTGTTGCAAAGATTAAATACAGAAAATAATTCAAAATTGAAGTTATCAAACTGAGAATATTTGCTCCTTAATTTTTTATGTTTTGGGCGGAGCTAGAGGGGGGGCCCAATCATTGGCCACCCAATCATTGGCCACCCCTGTGGCCAGCCCTACCATTTTTGTCCCATAATGCTGACAGTGGCAGCAGTAATACTCTCAATATTCAAAACATTTACAATTTTAATTGATTAACAATTACTTGACCAGAAAAACACTGTTGTTAATTATACACATCAATATACTAACATTAAAGATGATAAGTACAGAATTTATGCTCTTTTCAGAACTACGGTAGATTTTTTTTATATGGGATAAAGAGAAAATGCAAGTCAGTCTTTAGTTAAATCATAGATAAATACAGAGGCATAGCTGGAACATTTTTATAAGGGTGGCCAGGCAATAACCAATGTAAACTGAAGGGTGGGCGAAAGCGGGTTGGCACCAGAACCTTAGGGTCAATCTATACTGATCCAACAGGAAAATGAACAACCACAGCATCCATGTTTTCCAATTAAAGACAAATTATACTTTCCTGCAGCCTTTGCTAGCAAATAGATGCATGTATTTATGTTTTGAACTACAAACAGGAAAAGCGTTTCCTCATTTCCTCATACATATATATATATATATATATATATATATATATATATATATATATATATATATATATATATATATATATATATATATATATATATATATATTTTTTTTTTTTTTTTTTTTTTTGACATTTGGATTACTTGCCTCCCAGATTTTGTGATAACCATCTCAGTCCCCATCTTGTAAAATTCACTCCAAAGATCCTTTGATTCCAGTGTGACATTGGGATCGTCATCCAGCCATTGTTCGGGTCTTTCAACAACATTTATGGTGCGAGGACGCACTGGTCGACTCCGGAGCCCCGCAGCTGCGCGCAGCCGTGTGTCAGCAGCTCTCCGCTCCGACAGGGCATCAGGGAACGCTGCTCCCTGAACTTGGTAAGGATGGTAAGCCATTAGAACCGCAGGAATAAAAACCAGAAGCCTCTTAATCAGCGTTGAACTTTTTGTAGCGTAACCAGAAAGTGTTGAAAGTCTGTATATGTCGGTGAAACGTCAACGCCATCGGTGAACATAATTTGGAGAGCACGGCGCACACGGGTATTATACGTAAATACGTAAAAGTTATTTAAAAAGCTATAACAAACAAATAAACGAAAAAAAAACTGCAAACACAATTTAAAATTGAAAAATTTAGACGTGAAATGCCATTTTTTCTTGGAAGTCTTGCCTGTGGATGAAACCAATCTGAGGAAAGCGCATCTGTTCTGACAAGGGAAAGGACGTGGAGGAGGGGTGCGTTGGTTTTAAGCCCTCCCGCTAATTATGAGAAATTCAAACATGATTTACACAGTGCCTTTACAATTTACATATAAGAATAATATTAAAAAAGGTGCTTCTAAGGGCGAAAACATATTTGAAAAAGAAAAATAGTCAACTAATTTAGTTATTATTAATCATTAACTGGAGCATAAAGACTCTGAATGCCATCAACTATAAGAGCAACCCACAAAGAGCAGTAATTATACTTGTTCAAAAACATTTTTAAATATTTTGCATTCAAGACAAACATTTTTTCTTTCAAAATGCTTGATCCAGAACTCCATAGGTGTATTATCTTTAGCTTCAACCGGTTTAAACTCTGTATAAAATCTTATTAAAGTAATCTTAATCTAAATAAAACTTGGATTTCCAAAATAATCATTAGTTCAGGCCTAGTTCATTCCTTCATCATCAATAACAACTAGGCTCTACCATTTCCATCTTTTATTGTCACTTTTAAGTTGGGGTGCTCCCTTCCTCTGTTTTATTTGAACAAATTTAACACTGCAAAATCATGGCAGATCAATCCACATTAATTTACAACCTTTGAAGTATTTTACAACTTCATTAGATAGCATAATGAGGAGGACACTGTGGAATACAGTGAATATGATAGCTAATAAATAAGTTTGGAAAGATTTGCAATTATACATTTAATACTGATTAGTTTATCATTTCATCAACAATAACAGCTCAAAAGATGTGTATTATTTGCAGTACATTAGATGTTCCCAACAAGTTCTACACTGTGAAATATTTTAATCTTTTACTTCTTTGATACAAATGTTTTAAATAAAATCTTAACTCAGAATTCAGTGTCTCAGAAATCTTAAATACTTACTTAGATCATTTCAAAAAGGGTACTATACATATTTCAGGAATTCAAAAAAGATGTCCATTTCTATGTACTGACATGGTTTGGCCTCCTGAATGCATTAGTCCAGCAAGGTGTGGAAGAGATCAGCCAGTGGCAGTGCAGAGATTATATTCATGCTCAGGTTGCTTTGATAGCAGCTTTCAGGTTGCCTTTTGTATTATCAGGTGTGGTGTCTCTCACCTACATTCTCCTGCAAAAAAAAACAAAAAACAAAGCATTTTATGGGCTCAGCTCAGATCAGTTCTATGGCCATTCAAGCACCTTAATAAGATCACTGCTAAAGGCACCACCCGTTGGCAGTGCCATCAACAACTGCTGGACAATAAAATCAGTCTTTTATACAGTTAGTAGAGAGAAGTAGGAATTTAGTTCTCAAAATGTTCCTGGTCTGCTTCGACTAGTTATTTCATTCCTTTTAATTTTTTATGAACATTCTTTTATTCAGCACTAAGTTAACCAGCTGTCATGATGAGGTTTGCAAAGGGAAAAAGTGCACAAACTGACAGAAATGGAAATGAGCAGAGTGTCATGTTGGCTTTCAGGGATCTAACCCACATGCAGAACACTCAAAGGCTGGGAAAAAGTTCACAAAGTTTATTGAAGATAAATCACAATAAAGAACAACGATTTCTGGGATAACTGGGTCCGGGTCTGGTCACGACTGGTTTTCACTGCAGAGAGGGACAGATTGGTTAGCAGTCTTTCAGTGAACTTGCAGGTTGGGTGTAGAGGTGTGCAAAATAATGGTCATGATGATGCATCGTGATTCTAATTTTCATGATCTACTGCATCGATTCTTGACGCCAAGTATCGATTATTAATTTTAAAAAATTTGTAAATAAAATTGCATGAATGGTTGGCGAAAATCAGCCAAAAACAAGTGTAATACAACTTCCAGTCCAGTAGATGTCGCTGCGGATGTGTTGATGCACACTGCCTTGTGTCACATCATTTCTACTGCGCTGAGTCATTCAAAAACAAAACATGGAGGAGAAAATATTGCAATGCATCGCAATAATTCAAGTATCGTGATGCATCGTGATAGAATCGCATCGTGGCCCGTGAATCGTGAATCGAATCGAATCGTGACTCCTTTGGCAATACCCACCCCTAGTTGGGTGTTTGCAGGTCTATATCTGTACCTGATCAGAGATGAGCAGAGCGGTAGAAGGGGGGAACCAGGAGGGTCCAGAGGCTGAAGGCAGGCAGAGGCAGAGCAGAGCAGAGCAGATAATCTTACTGAGCAGGTTCAGAGCTTCTCCCTCAGCTCTTGCTGAGAGCGGGCAGGCAGGTTTCTGCCCCTCCTTAAATGCTGGTCTCCTGATGAGCTCATGAGCCGCAGGTGTGGTGGTAGCTTCAGATCCAGGAGACCTAGAACACCCTCTGCTGGAGAAAGGTGGACAGACCTCCAGATCCCAACACAGAGTCTGTAATGATAAATAAACAAAGAACTTGGAGGGAGAGTCAAACTGGGTCCTTTTTAAACATAAACTTAAAGACTTTTTATTGAGAGGTCAGTCATGTGAACATTAATAACCTAACTGACCTGATTTTATTTCTGTGATGTTTTAATGTGTAATTTGCTCTGTTGTTCTTGTGTACAGTCACTGTGTTTGTGTAAAAGCCTAACTGGGGACAGACATTGAGAATTAGCCTTAGCTAAAATGTTGTAGTGTGTGACATGATGCATGAAACATACTTGTCCCTATCAAATAAACGAAAAAAAAAAAGGCATGGTATACAGCCTGGATAGTTTGCCAGTTTATTAAAAATGCTTTTTTACAGTCACTTCATGTAGTTAGGTTACATTTTCTAATAAAAAATTGAAGAATACAACACAAGAAAACCTTTATTCTTCCTTTTGGATAACCCTTTTTTGATCTGGGAGTTGCCTTCTATTAGTTTTGGCTGCTCGTAGGTTTTCCTGAACACCATAGCCAGTCGGCTTTTAATTGAGGATGTTCTTAGGGATCAGACTGACTGTTCTAAAAGGACTGTCACCCTTTCAGTGCTAATTTTAGGAAGACTAAAACAGCCTCCTGTGCTGGCCTTCGCAAAAGAAAAAAAATCAGAATCATATTGAACTTTTCTGGGCTATGCCCCAACACCTCATATATGTCAGGAAACCAATGAGTTTAGATGTGCTCTAAATTACGGAAATAAAGATGCTCAATTATCCATACAGATATATGTCCAGACTTTGGAGATGGCTGCAACAAATATATGCAGAAGCTGCAAATTCCAAAACGTTAATTCAGAAAAATAGTAGGAGTGTGAAAATATATTTAACCCTTGTATTCTATTATAGAATAATAAGTCATTTATGTCCCATTCAGCCATTTTGATTTACTGGTGTCTATAGTTATTAAAATGTTGCCCTATTAGTGTTTTCAAAATGTATTTTTTTAATGTCTTCTTACATTTTTTTTAATATCCTTACATGACCTATGTAATTTTGACTGTTTTTTTTCTTTTGCTAAAAGCACTAAAGCCAAAGGGACATTTTATAGTCAAACAAGTCCATGCCTTGAGGCATCTGAGAAAGCAAGAGGAGGAAAAGGGTCCACAATGCTGAATAATACATGGCACTCAGTGTTATGAGCTGGAGTGATTCTATGAAAATAGAAATATTTAGAATAGAAATACTTTGTTCTTTGGAGGGGTATGTATTTTGCCTTTAAGATAGGTCTACATTTAGGCATACTTAGATTTTCATGTCTGTGGTGGATTTAGGAAATCCGAAGTTATAATGTCCTAGCTGTGTACACTTTGAAACCTAAAATACTGTAGAAACATCCGAGTACTGCAGCAGGGAGTTGCTAACCTGGCATAAGCCGGATTGATACCATGTAGAATTCAAATTGGACTACACATATCGTTCTGGGAAGGTGTAGTGTACAAAGTGTCTCATGTACAAAGTGTTTGCAAAGGGGAGGGAAATTAAGTCCAATTCTTTGAGTTGATTGGGTACCTGCCTCCCATGTCAAGTCTTTAGCCAATCATAGCAGCAGTAGTAGCTTTATTTGTTTCCCAACTTGATGAGTTGATTGATAAATTACACTCTTTTCACCTCCGGTCAGGGGGACAACCCAAATATCTTTCCCATCCACAAAGCCAAAAATAGCATTCTTGGTCATTTTTCAAAAAGTAATGACTGGCTGATTACTCATTTCGTTCTCCTGCCTAACTCTGCCCATTTTGTAATTACTGCTTATCATATCCACCTGTTCCAGCTTTTATTTAAACTGCTTGCTCCCGGTCATCAGTGCCAGATTATTGTTGAACTTTTGGTGTGAGCGATTTCTAGCATAACAAATTGTGTTCTGATTGCCTGATCCTGACCCGTTCTGACTCTTTGGACCACTGAGCCTGCCTGTTCCTGTTCTGATCTGTTTGCCTGACCTGTCTCCTCCTGCTGGATTCTTCTTGTGGACTGTACCTGGATCTGCCTCCTGACTTCGTCTTCTGGATTATCATGCCTTCCTTCGTCTGCATGGATTTGATCTCCGGTCAGTTCTGTAGTCTTAAAGGCTTCTGCGTCTGGAACTCTCTATGCCACTGCTGCATGTTGTCAGCCGTCCAGCTGGAATGAACCTCGTTTTCTGGGCTCGGACTGAACTCTAAAACCAGAGATTCCTGCGTTAGTCCTTCTAGCCACCGCTGCTATTGCCGATCCGCAGTTCATTTTTAAATAAATGCTTTTGAAGTAATCCCACTATCTGTCTTGCCTTGAATACTGGGTCTTCCGTTCTGAGCCTTGACAAAACAGCCATGTTTCGCGTCTTTCAGCCTTTAACTTCTTGTTGACCCCGTTGGCATCATATAGTACATGTCACTGCATTTTATTGGTATAAAACATTTCTGGCTCCTAGTAAGATGTGTTTTTATGAGTTTGTGAATTCACAAATCTCACAACAATTCTTCTTACTGGCAAGGTAATGGAAGTGCACCCATGAATGTATTTAAACCAATACCTCCAACACACTTCATACCAGACAACATAGAGAAATCAAAAGATATAAGACAAGATATTAAGAGAAAATGTGTAGACTTCCAAAAATCTTGTCAAGATTCCACTACTAAGTTGCCTGAAGTTGCCATGTTAATCTGTTTAAATGCTTATACATTTGAATAAAACATGTAAATATCCAGTTATTCATCTTCAGAGAGCCAGAGAATAGCATCCTAACTGTGTAGTGCAGTAGTGGCAGCATCATGGTGTGGGGTAAACTGTGAAGTACAGGGGTGGAATGATCATGATGTGGAAGCGTATTACTGCAGAAGGGACAGGTGAACTTTTAAAAAAGATGTCATCATAGAATATGAACTTCTTCTATCTGAAATATTTCAAGACATGAGACACAGTTAGCTGAACTGGCCTAGGACATTTATTATAAGTTATATCAGGGAATCTAAAGAAATTCATTTATAAGGGCAGATAAAGAAGACTTTTCAGTTACTGTAACAAGTTGGATATTATCCAAAGGATTGAGATCCTGCTTTAATCCTGTTAATGAAACCAGTTGGTGTCTGATGTGGCAATCCGTCTGTTGAGAGTATCAGCCTGACCCCACTTGGCCTAAATATCCCCATAGACAGACTGAAGGTGCTTCATTCAGTGTTCATTTTAGAGTTAAACAATGCTCTGTAATGTTACTGTTTTAGGACTACTGAAAATCACGTCTGAATTGTAGTTGCCTTGTGCCTTTTAAGTTTCGTATTTGCTGTATTTCTGACAGTTGCACAGGAGAAAGTAACCAAACTGAATTTTTTGTTTCATTTGAAATATGTATAAAAATCTATATAAGACTATAAATAACTTTTAAAGGTATCAAAAGTTATATATATATAAAAAAGAAAGAATACTGTCAGCCAAAGAAATAAACAGTAACAAGTATTATCTTTGATGTATTTTATTAACCTTGATATTTTCATACGGTTTTATATCAATAAACTCAATCATATGCAGTAGCTATGAACAAAATTCATTATTCTTGACAAAATAACGCAGAGTATCAACACACAATCATTATCAAAGAGAATAAAGTGGAAATATTCATGTTTTTACCATAAAAATTGATTTCAGGCTTTTAATGTACTTTTCTGGCTTATGGGTCAGCACCAAACTGCTGAGTTGAAAATAATACAATCTGGAATTTAAGATTATAAAGCGCACATCATTTTTTTATATTCTCGAGGCTTACGCCAACTGAGTCCTGGGTCAATGTACTTCCACAGGGTTGGGTTGTCGGTTTTACATTCTAGATTAAGTTTTCTAACCAAAAATAAGTTGCAGTACCTACTGTTGCAGATTCAAAAGTATTTTGACAAGAAAAAAAAAAAAGAAATTATACCCAGATTACTAAGAAATTAAGAACATTTCATAAAAAGCTCAATGTTGTAAAAAATACAGCGACTCCTATTTTCTTCTTTATCTCAACAACATGGATCCCATTCTCTGTTATAGTTGGTTGAAACTAGCCAGCCAACAACATAAACTGACATTTGTTTTGAATAAATAACCCAGAGGTTGTCTGTGTATCAATGATTTGTGCTCTACAGACAGAAATGTCTAGTTAAGGCTCAGGGAAGATCAACTACAAACCACAAATAATTTCAGACATTTAAAATGATAAAATTATTGATCAGAAGAATAAACCAAAAGAACTGAAGGGGGCCCCTTTGTCCCTCAATGTTATATCAACAATATCCAGCTAAATCACTGACTGACTTCTTGGGGAATCACTGTAGAATTTTAAATAGAAACAGAAAAACAATTTATTTATTTCAATGGAAACTAACTGGTGTTGTTTCTAAGTAGTTATACTGTATTTAAAGAGATAAAGAAAAGTGCGAATAAAGGAGAATGGCAAGATAAAATCAAGATGAAGCAAAAATGAAATATTTTGTTCATAATTGCTGAACAAAGAAAACACATTTTTAAATGAAATGTTTCAATGTTTCATCTCAATAGTAATTAGAGTTATGGAAAAATATATGTTTTGCCTTTTGCCACATTGATCAAATATGAACAAAGCTGTGATTAGATGAAGAGAGCTACAGACCAGAACAACAAAACCTATTTTTTATTCACTGCAGTCAATGGTGTCAAGTAACAAAGTACGAATACCTAAGTAGTAATTTTGGCTGTCTATACCTCACTGGAATAATTTGTTTTTAGACAACTTTACTTCAACTTCTTTTTTAATTCT